ATGTATGATGACATTTGGCTTGCATATTATGTCACATTTTCTTTTTCCTATAAAATGAAAACAATATTCTCACTTCTTCAAAAAATGATTTTCGTAAATTTGTTACCAATTGCTCTCCCGTACCCGGTCTCCTATTGTATATTAAAACCCTACATTGGCGCTGGCCGGTGGTCCACCGACTGCCACCAAACAGAAAATTATCAGCGCTCGTTGAGACAACCACCTCCAAAGAAGCAGCACGAATCGAACAACACATTGTTCTTATAGATCCTTAAGGTCACCGTACACTTCACCACTTCACTTGACTCATAAAAATCAAAGGGTCTTCTTCGCCCCTGATAAGGCATAGAAAAATTCACCCAAAATTGAGCGAAACTTTTCACTGAACATATTGGAGTTTTGAGGCAATTACTTTTGATCATAGCTAAGTTAGACATCTCAAAACTACCACGAACACAAACAACCCAAGAATCATATAAATTGTCTAACAAAAGCAAAATAATACTTGAAATAAAACTAAAGCAAACTTGAAACGTCTTTTTCCAAATCGCCCTAGACACACATTCACTCCATGGCGTCAGTTCAAGAGGGGGACGAACTATCAATACTTCATATATTTTCAATTCCGACTTTCTTTTAAGTTAGTATATAATACATCTTAAAACGTAGGAGGCCCGTCCATTTGTTCCGAGACAATTAGATAATAATGCATTTCTCATCATATCGGTTAGATCAGAAAAGTCTCAATGGTTGCCTTTTCAGAAGTTTGGCATCAATCTACGGTCCTTTCTTTTAGAGAAATTGAGCAAATAAAATAAGCCCTCAAACAATTAGCGTTTATACAACTAGGCCCCTGAATCGGAAGACGTGCAAATACATCTCTCAATTCATTGCAAATTAAGCAATCAGATCCTTTTTATCTGTGGGCGTCGATAATTTCTCATTAGAAAGTTAACTTCTTACCTGCACCAGCAGGTAAAAAGGATCTAATGGCTAAATTTGTGATGAGTTGTTCCAATTCATGGGCCAAATTATAGAATCACAAATATTTCTATGGCTTATTCGCCCTACAACATGCGTCATAAAACCAAAGTTCTACGTCACATTCAACGTTTTAAATTAATGGTGGAAAACTAAAATTTAGATATTACGAACGTTACTTAAATTTACTTAAAACCTAAAGTTCTGCTCTCTATCTCTTTAATTCTAAGCATTTCTACATTACTTAAATTTTCCTTTGGTAAATCATCTAATAAGAGTTTTATGTACGGTCAATCAGGTCAACACACATGAAAATACAACAAACCGCATCCTGCAAATCATGGTGAACGTGGAAGAAATAACCTCATTATGAGCATATTGAATGATGGTCAAAGATCGAAGAAAGGCTTTAGAATGTGACCGATAAGATATACTAGTAGTAGTATTAAATAACAATAATGTTCTCATCAGCACTGTTAGGACTCGCTTGAGGTAGTTAGCAATTCAATTACAGCCCATCATTTGAAGAATTTATTTTTGAGAATTCATAAAATTGAACTCATCGTGCTTATCATTAATTAAGGACTTCAAGGTCACTATACAGATTTAATTTCTTTTCTGGCGAAGTTGAAGTTATGCATAAGTTTAGAGACTTTCATTTGAAGAGAGCTGGATCGGAAGGCTCCTCCTAATGCGTTATGCGCGCAATTAGTGGCCAACTGGCCAAGCAAGAAGCTTCGTTGTTGTGATCTAAATTTAACAATTAACAGTATGTAATTTGAATGATGGTTTGTGTTTAGGTTTTTATAATTAATGTGTTTGTTAGTATCGTATATTGTTAAATGTTTAAAACCGATATATGTGAACAAGCTACAAAAGTAATTTTCATAATGGATTCATAAAGTTAAAAAGTGATGAACATGGAATTGTGGACGGATGACATGGAATGGTTGATGGATGATATATAATAGGTGGCGTGGTAAAATTTGATGACATGGCAAAAAATTACCTTCATTTGATAGATAAGTTTAAAAGTATTCTCATTTGACAAATAAGATTTTCAAATTGTCCCTATTTGGGAAAAAACTCGAAACTTGATTGTACTAATTCCATAATTCTCCTATAGGATATATATATATATATATATATATATATATAGGAAAAATTAAAATTAAAATTCTAAAATTAAGTTTCAAACGCTTTAAATTCTTATACCCTCCTTATTGGAGTGAGTATATTTCGAGTGAAAATCAACATTTGCATTGAGGGTGGGTCAAAAATTAAATAAATAACGTTTATTGCAAAAAATGTTGAAATGATAAAATGTAGTTAAATAATACGAGTACTACATATTACAGAAATGTCAAAGAAAAAATAAATAATACAGAACCAACAATTTAATTATCTTAAAAGTCTAAAACACCGAACAGAGATTTGCTCGATTATTGAAATGTTCAGTACCTATTTTAAGACAATTTCTCAACTAATGTTCAAACCTGCAATGAAATGAATTAATTTTGGAAACAAAAATTGAAAATTTTAAAACACTACATGTGAAACATTACTAGGTGTTAGTGTGTTAGACTTAAAATTTATAAACACTGCAGGGGGTCCGAACTCAAAACCATACGAGTCACACGCATACTCTTCTACCATCACGCAAACTTGACAAGTGTTCACAATTCCACGTTAGTTGTTATTATACACAATCATTAACCGGTTAGGAACCAGCGAATGAAGATGATCGATGTGCAAAGGTTGAATTATTCTTGAATAATGAAAATTAAAGGTGGAACTATTGTAAAAAAAATGACTAAAAAGTTGGATTATTAATTTACATTTTTCCATATATATACTAGTTTTTTTTAGTGTGGGCCTAGGCCCTTCCCGGTCCTATACCAGATCCTCCCCAAGTGTTTTGTCATAAGCGATTTTTCGATGGCACTATTATTGGTTGTTACAATTCACGGCCGTCTTGTGGCTAAAGATGTTCATCAACGTCCCAAGGTAGATAATTAGATTATACCAAAACTTTTAGTCCTATCATCAAAATCACTACTATTCACTGTGTTTTCGTTCTTGCCATTAGTGGGGTAACACTGGGGTTGGTCACTTTTCCTCTGCTTAATCTCTTCATGTATTGAGTAATTCTGAAATAGCTTAACACGTTATCAAACTATATGGTAAACAAATATCATCCCATAGGGATATAGTAAATCGAATAGTCAAATAAAATCTTATTTATTATATAGTTGACGAAAAGAAAGATCTACGTACGTACATTTGGTACTCCAATTACATGGGTCACATGTTGAACAAAATCATCCATTCATCCCTCATACTTCCTCCGTTCTTTTTTAGTTGCAACGGTCAACATTTCACATTTGCCAACGCACGTCTTTGACCGTAATTATATATTAATCTTTATTAGTAAAAAATATTTAAAATTTAGATTTTGAAAATTTGTAATGAGATGAATTGAACAATATTTTTTTAAAATAATAATTTTCATAAAATAATAACATAAAATGTAGTCAAAGTAGAACATGTGAATAGTGTAAAATTCAACATGTTGCGATTAAAAAGAGACGGAGGATAGTATATCTTTATATGCTTTCTTTGTTCTATTCCTTGAACCAAATATACAAAATGGTTAGATACTTGGATTTCCGAGGATTTTTGCGTAGATATCATATCGCGAGAAGTCAAGAATCAATAATTTTAATGTATCCTTTGAAAAATGATAGAGAGAGATGAACATAAAAAAACAAACTAAGGAAAGAAAGTAGGAAACTATTGACATCAAACATATATTGGTTCACTGAATGAATTTTTATTTCTAATGTACTACCTTCGTTCTCTTTTAGTTGAAATATTGGACTTTTTGCACTATTCACATATTCTACTTTGACTATATTTTCTTAATTAATGTATTATAAATTATTTTTTTTTAAAAATATTGTTAAATTCTTCTCATTCTAAATTTTCAAAATATGAATTTTTTAGTTTTTAAACTAATAACGAATGAAAAATATTAATGGTCAAACTTGTGTGTTGCCAAACGTGAAATGTTGACTGTTGCAATTAATATGGAATGGAAGAAGTACTTCGGTTTTAATGTTATTTTTGTATCCGTATACTATAAATATGAAACAGCTTGCAGCCTTGAACCCGATCGTATAAAAAAACTATGAATTAAACGAGGTATTGTCTTTGCAATTCGTGAGGTAATTAAAATACGAAGTATAAAAAAGAACTTTCCTTGTTAATTTTCTTTGGTTAGGAAGGATTCACAATCTTTTTAACTGGACCAATTTTAATATCAAATCACAAAAAATATAAAAGGTTAAAGGATCAAAAGGATCAAATAGATTCATGTACTTTCGGGTTTGCTCAATCCACTCATGAAGTAAAAATATGTTTAATCCGTATCACAGACTAGCAAAAACTGGTCGTAACTTCAAATTTTCACATCCAAATTCACACCCTGATCGGAAGTTGACCATAAAAGATCATACCATATAGACTTACAAAATAATACTCCGTACAACATTCCTGTAATATGATTTATATATTTACTTATCAGACTACAGTGAAAAATTCGAGTCTAAATTAAATGAAAAACTTATTTAATTTAGAAATACCTTTTGAAATAAGATATTTCCAAACTTATTTCCTCTAATAAGATATCTTTTCTTTTCAACATACTTCATATCATAATATGAAATTAAGGTTACCAAACTAACTTATGTAGATCTTGATCTTATTATATACGAAGTATAAGAATTTAATGCAACCCATCCCATAGACTTTTTTTAGTCTTTTGTTGGTATATGAACAGATAGTCAAATACATATACTCCTTTTGAAAAATCTGCAGCCAACTATAATGTAGCCGCTCTAGATCAAGCTGTATTTTGTAATGTTAATATTATATTATTAGGACTCCGTATATTTTAGTGTTGATTACTTGTTTATTGATTTAATTTTAATCAGTTCCTTCACATGCTCCGTGAATTCTAATAAATCTCACTTCTGTAAATTCCATGCAATGTCAACTTTGTCAAGTAGGAAAATCAATTAATTAAGAAAGGTGGAAGTAATAACCTTTTGTAGTTGTGAAAGAGACCTCTCATCATAAAAGTCACACAATTACATCGGTAAACATTAACAAACACTATCATTAACAAAAACAAAATAGATTTTAAACATAAGTAAATGTAGTGGTTGTCATCACCGCCGCCAGCCACCGGCCGGAGCACCGGCGGAACTTGAGGTGAGCTGGGCCCCACAACGCCGTGATCATTGCCGCCTCCGTGAATTTCGGAACTTAAACATTCCTCGCTTGCACTTGTACTTGTTTCAATTCCCGCGGAATCAGAATATTCCGAACTGATTTGCCCCTCTGTCCTAATCAGACTTTCATATCCCGATATTGCCCCTCCTTCTTCTACACCTCTCTCGCGCACCACCACCCAACCATCCGATTCCCAATTTGCCCCTGTCCCCGAAGCTAATTTACCGATCCGTTCCTTCGCCGAGAAATTAACAGTTCCGCTTACTGAGTCAGTATCCGAGTCGTTGTCCGAGCTGAACCAGTTCAGAACGCAGCGGGGCGATGAATAGGCGGTGCAGGAATCTTGCGGAGGGAGCACGGAAAGGAATGGATGTTGTAGCAGCTGATCGCAGCTCCATCTCTTCTTCAAATCTCTCTGTAAGCATTTCTCGAGGAAATCGCATCCGGATTCCGACAATTGAGCCGGGAATTGAGGCAATTCGTCGGAGTTTCCGATTCGGAGCAGAGTATCGGCGGCGCCGCGATCCTCCCACGGCCACTTTCCGGTGAGCATCTCGATCACCGTACAACCGAGCGACCACACGTCGGATTCCGGCCCCTGGTACTCGCCGCGGATGACCTCCGGCGCCATCCACAGAGGACTCCCACGTGGCAGGATCCTGTCGCTCTGTCCATCCCCAATCTCCACCGCCGATCCGAAATCTGCCAGCTTGGCATACCCAGGGGCGGGGCCCACCAGCACATTCTGCCCTTTGACATCACAATGCACAATGCCCTTTGAGTGAATATACATCAGAGCTTCCACAACGCACCGCGCGTAGCTGCGGACAATTTCCTCCCCGCGATTTGCCAGGTCAGCGGCGGTGCCACCTGGCATGTACTCCACGTGTAAGTTCCTGTACGTCGCCGTCACGTCATCGCCGAGATACTTCACGACATACGGCGACGAGAGTGACCGGAGAATTCTGATTTCGTTCTCAAGCGATTCGATCCGAGACGGCGAACTTGAGGCGGCGTCGACCGACTTCACAGCGAAAACGCCGCCGCCTTTCTTCGCAAAAGCCAAATTCACCGCCGCAAACGACCCTTTCCCGATGCATCTCTCTCTGACCCAGCTTCTCTCCACGGATTTCGCCATCTCTGTAAAGTCGAGAAGGTGATGAATTGAAACAGAGAGGAAAACGAATATTTATTTCGGTTTTGAGTTTTTAAATTGAATTTTGAGTTTGGGAAGAAAAGCATCCCTTGGGAGGTATATATATATAACGTGGAAAGGGAGTAGGACAAGAGAAAATACGGAGTATACGAAATTGTTTTTTATTTAAATACGGACTAGATATAAAGAGGAAAAGGTAAAGAGAGGAAATACAAAAGGAAATAAAATTTCCGTGAGACCGTGACCACCGTCAAATCAGGGAGAAGGTGGTTGACGCAATCGGAGAGGCGAGGGGGCCGATTTGACGGAACGGTGTTTAGTACTTATCCACTGACGACCGGTGGAGGTTAAACGGTAAAGAAATTTTCTAGATATAGTAACTTCCTAAATGCTATTTTCGGAATCGGCATTAGCCGAATAGCCGTATTGTTAGGTGTTTGGTGTGTAATTATGTCATTACCCACCGGATTGACTTTACGACTTAATTATATTGCAGTCAATTTAGGTTATGGAGTATTTTATTTATGTAGTTAGCGAACGCATTACGTTTTAACCGTTCATTTGATCTTACCAAACCGCCGTGAAGACGAATTTGACTCCAATTTGTGTTTGTACAACATGGCCAACATTGGGCGGTTCTACACCATGGGCAACATTGTCTTGTGTCTAGGCGGCTTAGGCGCTATGATGAGTAGTGATGGTTTCTAACGCATACCCACAATTTATGTCATCCTTCATACTTTTGTATTATAAAAAAATTACTTGTGCACAGTTTTCTCAACACTTCATACTAAACATGTCTATGAATAACTTGTGAATAGCTTCTTTATAGGCAAAACATGATTTATTTATCAACACGCTATTCACAGACAAAAAAAACGGTTCACAAACGTGTGTAAGACAGTGTGTACAACAAGAGGTAAGAATTTTGTCTGTATTATAGTGAAAATTTCACAGTATACAACACATATAGTGTTATTTAATCAAAATTTAGGTATATTGTGTTTTGATATATACTTCATTTCTATGCTTATCTTGATACCATCTGATGTGAGACTTTCATTCACCTTCCAGCCCTTGTTTTATAGTTGCCGATCAGTCGTTGGGAATAGAGGGGATATTCTTACCATAATCGGTTTTCACCCATGAACAAATGTATGTCACTGTATAGCTAGTTTCAAATTTCTTTTATGTGACTTTAATGATTGACCGAAAAACTCCACATTAAATGTTATGTACAAAGAGATACTTACCAATTTGTAATATTCATGAGCGGATTTTGTGGGTCAACCTAGACCCTGACACATCCCAAATTTTAAAAATGCCTTGATTTTTAAGATAAAAAATTCTATGTTTTTTCTCTAAAAAATACTACCTCCGTCCCAAAAAGAGTTGCAAATTTGACTTTTCTTAGTCAAACAGTTTCATTTTGTTCACTTAATTAGGATGTCAATTTTTAATTATATTCTAATTTGGAGTTTACAACTTTGAAGAGATTTTAATGTAGTTTTTGAATATGTAAATTTTAATTATTAAAAATTGAATTAAGTATTCATAGAGAGGGTTGACTTTTATTATTGGTTGACCGAAAAATGTTGACTTTGCAAAACATATTGGGACGGAGGAAGTATTCATTTTACCAACCCAGTCCGGCCCAGTACTTTGACTCCACCCCTAATAATGTTACGTTTTATCTTAAATAAAATTGAGAGCTACTACGTATATAATTCAAACTCAAAGGCTAATGCGTGTTACACATTCATTTAGATAAGTATTTACGTTACAATCAAATAAAATAATTTTTCTCTCAACGCCAATGCATGTGTGATTGTGTGAAAAAAATGTGAATTGCAAGTTGTGCTAATGCATGTATTGCATTTTGTTGTTGTTATATTTTGAGCAATTAGGGTATAACTTCACTGGACTACTACTAGTACGTGGTACCTAATGGGAAGACATAGTTAATAGTAGAGTGACGTGTTGCCTTAATTAAGTGTTGGAATCACTTCATCTAATGGACGTGAGCTATTGTATACTATTGTATACTAGCTATAATGTACACGTGTATGCTATTCTATGAAGTGATGTCCTGCAACATGTGAGGAGCAGGCACGTGACACTTGCTGATGCCTAGAGAGCGATGAGTCTAGGGACTTGAGCCCTCAACTCGATGAGGAGTCCGGGCCAAGGGATCCTTTAATGGGAAATTCTCGTAAGATGAAATTACCAAGAACTCGTTGTTTTGCATTTCGTTGGTGCCCTCATATGTGCGGAGGCCCAATCGGGAGATAGCTGGAGTGAGGCTTATTGTGCTGCCGGATCTGGTTGGATCAACATTCATATTCATGAATATGTGGGTCGAAGATTCGAGCTCATATGCTCTATCACATGCAATAATTTATTTTTAACCTATCGGTGCGCCCCTTGTGAGAAACCTCTGACTTGTCAAGACTTAAACCCTATAATTGCTACTTTGGTGCTCTATATTCATAAGTATCATACATTTTTTGTGTTTATTTGCAGTTAACTAAATCACCATAGGGCCGATCTTTCATTTTCGTGAATCGATGCCAATATACCTACCATCTAGCAATTCGCATGTGAACCCTAAATTTCGAACGAACTCAAAGGGAAGCTAACTGTTTGGTGGCGGAATTGGGGGAGGGTAACTTAAGTGATTAGATCAAATCATCAAATCATCTAAGTGATGTATGGATGTACATGCTTAATTTGCTTATTCAAGCTTTCATTTTCTTTTCTCCTTTAAATCTTCCATTTAATTATCTTTAACGAATAGATCACCACATGCATTTCCCTTTGTTAACGTTTTCAAATTTCAAATGTCATCAAACACAACAATAAATCAGGCAACCTAGCTCGTAGTACACGTGGCCATGGGTTAGGTATCCTTGCCAAACACGGTTCAAATCAAATAATCACCGTTCACCAATACTTCTTAGGTTCAAAGAACTGAATTAGCTTGCAAAACCAAATCTCATTTGGTTTGGAATAATTCCGACTAATTTGTTTTAGTCTAATCTGATTTGGCTAGAAACTCAAATCAGTCAAATTATTAACATTATATATGTCATTTGATTAAATATTTGTTTAAACATATTCAAATATGATCTAGTCTAATCTAATTTGGTTTGAAAAGGTAACGGAATGTTGAAGTGACAATCTTAGACAACATAAAAACTTTAACTAATCTTAAACAACATAAAAGACTATAACCACGTTACGCATCCATTTAACATATCAACATTGTTTAATTACATATATCAAGTAAACCAGTCAAACTAACTGACTGATGAAAAATCAGAATCTTCGAATGCAAATATTCAAGATAAATGTGCCTTTATCTAGAATTGAAAAGTGAGTTGATGTATGATTTCACAATGTACATTTGAAAAGCATATCCTCCGTATTATGGAAAAAGAAACGAATCGCACGAGAATAGCACGTGGAAGAGGGAACACAGACCTGTGATGTGTTTTAAGGGTTGATAATCTGGAGCCAGAAGAGGGCCCACAAAGCTGATGTGGCGAAGTATATGTGGTGCAAACTGTTGTTCAGAACTGAACGAACGGCTGACAAGAAAGATGCCAGAGCGATGTAATCCTGGATATATCACATAAATAAATAAAAATAAATACTTATAGATTTTTTGGCAATATAAGAATAAATGAAAATAATAAACATAAGTATTTGTCTGGGGCTATGTTTTTCCCATGTTTCATCTAGTTGACGTGCAGCCGTTGTTTCCACTTCAATTTCGTGTTTTTGTGTTCTTTTCTTGCTATAATTAATTTATAATTTAAATAAAAGAAAATCGGCAGTATTTATTTCTCCGCCAATCAAATACTCTGGTCTGCTTTTTCGTTATCCTCTCCCCCATCCCGGTTTATTTTATTATTATTATTATATATGAAGATATATACAAATAGGTAATAAATAATGTCACTGGATATATCTTTTTCAAAGATTGCCACGTCCTGGTCCCGGTGTAGGTTCTGGACAATAGAGCTAGAAATTAAAGATACGCAACGATGAGGTGTCTTCATGAACTCACAGTTTACAAGTTACAAGAGATCCCTTAATTGCTCGTTATTGCTACCTATCAAAATCTAATCGCCCTCTAATTGATTCTAGTATCATATGAAAGTTCAAATCTCATTCTAATACATCACATCCGAGTAGCTTTAGACTTTATACATCATATCATATATATGAAACTACAAAGATTTTAATTTTACAGATAAATTTTTATCCGTAAATTTTTACATTAGAAATATAAGCAATTTTAAAATTTGGGCTGAGCCGTGACCTGATTGGTCACCTCTCCACCTCTTCCGTGGCTATTATTTGCAACGTTTCCATTCCTCAACTTTTTAACAAACAAGTTTATTACGAAGTATATTGCTATTTACATAGTGTTCCACAAAAGTGTTTAGTCGGTGTTGTGAGCCATCTGAAATGGGAATTGAGATACATGTATCCCTTTTTAAATAGAGTTCACACTTCTTACTAATAATAAATGATCAGTACATCAAATTAAATATTTGTGTACTCGAATAAGTCAAATGTACGTCTATACTAGAATCCCATTTGATTTAATATATAGAAACCAAATCAACATATAACGTTTACTCACTTCTTGATAAAAAAAAATTTACCTTAATTAATTATCAAATTGAAAGGTATATTTCTACGTTAATCTGATGGCTTCTTTTACAAAAATTGTTTTCATGCACGCCCCATGTGAACAAATCATTTTGCATGTGAAATTTTATCTTTAGCAATTAGAAGTAATCATATACGTAGTATGTCATTTTTAAGACGAATTGTCTATACGTGTGATGACTACAAAATTTGAAACTAAACTGTCACAAATTTGATTGTCAGTACCATACTACCACAACATCAAAGACAATTCGTTTGAAAAATGACAAAAGTTGTAAGTGTCACACACAACTTCAACGTGTACACGAAACCGCTTTGCTTCTTACTTGCATGTTTCTTATTTTTTCCTTTTCGATCATCATTTGAATTATTCTTTTTATATTTGCTTTA